AGTATATATTGCACCTTGTAGGGTTTTTATTTGCTATCTGTGTGCCTGCTGGGGAGATTCATAGTCCTCTAAACATTTCTAACAATCTAAACATTTAGGCCCCATGATCACTGAGCATTTTAAAAATGCTCGTAGCAATAGCTGTATAAAGTAGCGTTTTATAAGCGGTTTTGTTGCATTAGTGTTTAGCTGTGTTTAGCCTAATTTTTCCACATTAGCGATTTTTTTTTACACGCAGAAAATTTTGGCTCGATAAACACTCAGAAATGCCTTTTTTTACTGTGTTTGCCAGTGTCCGAGCGATTTTACAGCTAAAAAAAACTCCTACCCACTAGTTCTAGAGGTTTGTCCCAGCCAGAAAACGTCTCTGCCAAAAAATGCTGATTAAAGCCTATGTGTGCATGGACACACAGGATAACATGCTGGGGGGTTTACTGGCTGTAGGAAAAAATGCCAGAAGCCAAAAACAGCAGCTGTAAAAATACCCAGTGTGCATGAGGCCTTAAAATTGTCACCAGAGCAAGAGGTTGAGATAAATCATAGAATAAGGACATATTTCCTCACTTCTCACTTTGTCAAGATTTCCACTCGCTTTCCATTCTATTCCCAGGACAGGAAGCAAAGGAAAAACTGTCCAACTGGATACAGAAAACCATAAAAAAAAAAGAAAATCTGCAGGGGTTATAACCATTTCCTATGCTATTCAAAGCTAAAGGAAAATACACATATTTTATTTTCTTTTTCTTTCTTATAAAACATCAAATAGGAGAGGGATGGGGGTCAGCCTTGAATTTTACATTTTTGCAGATGCAGTAATTAATTTTACTTGAGTAAAATAATGTGGCAGAATATACACAAAGACTAGAGATAACAGGGAGGAGAAGCAAGACAGTTGTAAACTTAGATTTGACTTAGGGTGACTTAGAGACACACTACAGAAAGTTAGGACACTTGATGGAGAAAAAGGTGTCCATATGGTGGGATATAGTTACTCATGAAAAGTATCTAAAAGATAATCTGGTACCTAGAAGGTTGAGGTGGGATGTACCCATTTGTGATGGGTTGATGGATCCTGAGGCAATAGATGAGTGGTTCAATTTTTTCCATGAAAAAGGGTTGGAACTGGTTATGTTCCTACTTAAAAGGAAACAAAGGAAATTAAGGAATCTAGAAGTTCAGATTGGTGAGATTAAGGATAAAATTGAACCATTCAAGGATACCACAGAGTTGCAAAAATTGACTAAATGCCTTAATAAAGATCTAGATAAAGTGGATCAGGAGAATAAATATAGGAAGTCAAAAAAAATATCAAAGAGACTTCAACGATATGAAGAAAAATCAAGTATTTAAATGGAAGTCTCCTTTAAACGAAGTACAGATAGCTTCAGCCAATACTACTCCAACCAAAGAAAGGAAAGAAGTGGGTGGGAGTACCACGCCTGTTTATAGAGATCAGTATAGAGGACAAAATCAAGTGGGGATTAATTACAATACTCAAGTGTATAGAACACCTAGGAATGAATGGAAACCTAGAAATGGAAATATTGGATACAGGAGACCACAAGGAAGGGGCCAGCCTTATAATCACAGACCTTACTTTCATAATAATAGGCCTAATTACAATCCCGGACAAAATCATCATCCCCCACCAAGGCCATATTATCTTAAAATGTCTAATGGACATATGTATGAGAGACAATACCCTGAGGGTAGGTGGGATCATCAAAGATATGATCAGAGAAGCCCGTTTCCCATATATAATAGGTTTGATCCATTGAGGTCCGAATATCCTCGTGATGAGTTTTTAGAGAGGGGTCAGGGGGAGAGGATTCCCATGAGGGAGAGATGGAGAAGCCCTGGAGGAGGAGGGGATGCAGGGCAGGCCACAAAAAAAACAAAAGAAAAAGAGAGCAGTAGAAGAAGGGGTATTTTACATTAGTGGCTCTACACTGACGAAAGAGGAATTATTTGTTTTGGATAAGGGCCTTAAATATGCCCCCCCTGCACCTGCTAATACATTTAATATATACATTGACACTCAGAAATTTGTTAGAAGATTGAATATAAAAAAGTATTTTTTAGGATTACCAGGGGCAAAAAACATTGTTTACAGTGCCCCCAGTAGCAGAATTACTCACACGAATCTTAGAAATAGATCACTTTTTAACCCACAGATCACAAATAACAGCCAGATTGATGTTTTTAAAAAAATGGTAAATCAGGACCTTGAAAAACTCATTATCCCTAAAGTGCATAGAAATATTGGTATGGAAATAGGCATTAAGAAATTAACTAAGAGGGATGACATAGTTATAAGGCCAGCAGATAAAGGAGGAGGGATTGTGGTATTGTCCAAAGATTACTATCTTGGAGAGTTAGCGACTCAGCTAGAAGACAGTTACATGTACCAGGTTTTGGGTAGAGACCTCACATTGCAATACAAAAAAGAATTAGAATTATTGGTTAAAAAGGGTACAGAGAAAAATATTTTGAATAAAAAAGAATCGAAATACCTAGTCCCGGAAACATGTAGGGTACCAGTTATATATACTGTCCCAAAAAATTCATAAAAATGCCACGAACCCACCAGGAAGGCCCATAGTAAATGGCATACAATCAGTCCTGGCCAGAATGGGACAATATATAGACGAATTCCTACAACCAGTGGTCAAACAAACGAAGTCATTTCTAAGAGATACCAAACATTTAATACAGTTACTGGAAGAATCCAAAAGGAGGACATGAAATTTATCGGGCTAGTGCGGACGTGTCCACATTATATACTATTATAGGACATGATAATGCAGTTGAATCAGTCAGTTGGGGGCTTAGGAAGTACAGTAATTTATCTTGGACTCAAAGGAAATATTTACTGGAATGTTTGGAGTTTTGTTTGAGTCACAACTATTTTTGGCACAATAGTACTTATTACAAACAAATAAGAGGTGTAGCAATGGGAGCAAGGTTTGCACCGAGTGTGGCAAACCTATTCATGGCCCATTGGGAAGATAAAGAATTATATCAAAAATATCCGGAGGAATTAAAAGTTTATGAAAGATATATTGATGATGTGATCATCATTTGGGAGGGAGAATTAACCACATTATTGGCGTTTCTTAATAAACTTAATGAGAATAACAAAAATATTAAGTTCACGTGGGAATACAATAAAGAAGAGATAAACTTTTTAGATTTGAATATTAAGATAAGTAATGGGAAATTTGTAACTAAAACTTATTTTAAAACTGTCGATCGTAATGGATACATCCCAATGGGGAGCTGTCACTATCCGCCCTGGTTGTATAATATTCCTAAGGGCTAGTTTGTCAGAGATAGAAGGAACTGCACCTTAAAGAAAGATTATCTGGAACAGGCTGAGATATTAGGAATAAGATTTTCAGATAAAGGTTATTCTAAAGATATGATAAACCAAAAAATAGAGGAAATAGGGAATATGGATAGGGAAGTTTTTATGGGAGATAGAATTAAGGAAGATAGTGTTGGTGAACAAATGGCTATTGTCTTGGATTTTAATATCCATTACAAGAAAAAGTAAAGTATTTTTAAGAAGCATTGGAATATTTTAAAGTTGGATCCCATTCTAAATGGAGTTTTATCTAAAAATCCTAGATTCATCTATAGAAAGCACCCACTATTAGATCAAAGGTGGTTAAAAATGTACTAGATCCCCCATTATAAATAATATTACGTTTTTAAATGAGAAAGGTTTTTTTCCATGTAAAAATTGCTACACCTGTATAGCCACAAAACAACAGAATAGTAGGCGTAAGAGCTTTGCTGCTAATACCATTGGTCAGGAATTTGTAATCGAAGATTTCATCTCATGCAAGACTGAGGGAGTAGTGTATTGTTTAGAGTGCAAATGTGGCCTCCAATACATAGGTAGAACTAAGAGGCCATTGTGGAAGAGACTATGGGAGCAAGTCCAAAATATTAGAAAAGGATTCCCTAAACACAGTGTCTTCAGGCATTTTGCCACACATCATAATAAAGACCCTTGTAAGATGAAATTTTGAGGTATAGAGAAATTCAAGTGACATTGGAGGGGCAGTAACAAAATTAGATCCTTGAGTAAGGCGGAGTCCAGCTGGATTTACCATATGTGAACGCAGGTTCCGAGGGGGTTGAATGTAGAGTTCGACCCAAATTGTTTTATTAGTGATTTTTAACTTTCAAGGCTTTTTTTTAATTTGCAAGGCTGTTTTTTAAGTTCTAATTGGTTTTTAATATGTATTTTGTTAATATTATATATTTATCAGTGATCTATGTAATTGTGTGGGTATAGTTCATGAGTAGGGTCTGAATTTTAAAAATACATTTTTTAAAAAATATACATCTTTTATAATCTAACATTTTTTATTTAAAAAACATATTTTATATACATTTATATATATGAGTAAGGCGGAGTCCAGCTGGATTTACCATATGTGAACGCAGGTTCCGAGGGGGTTGAATGTAGAGTTCGACCCAAATTGTTTTATTAGTGATTTTTAACTTTCAAGGCTTTTTTTTAATTTGCAAGGCTGTTTTTTTAAGTTCTAATTGGTTTTTAATATGTATTTTGTTAATATTATATATTTATCAGTGATCTATGTAATTGTGTGGGTATAGTTCATGAGTAGGGTCTGAATTTTAAAAATACATTTTTTAAAAAATATACATCTTTTATAATCTAACATTTTTTATTTAAAAAACATATTTTATATACATTTATATATATACCATATTTATATTGATCAATTTTATTCTGAGTGTATCAGTTTTTTCTTATAGATTTATGTCATCCTCCCCTTGGCTTATCCCTCTATTTTTAGTATTTCTGAGTTGAGATTTATTTTTATTGTATGTTTTAGTAATAGATGCCCATTTTTAATATCTTAATAATAAATTAAAGTTTTTTAATAATATATTTAGTATTTTTTGGGTTCCAGTGGAGTTATTTCTCCTTAAATTTAATGTGCAGTAGGGAAAGGGTATATAGCAAGGGCGGACTGACCATTTGGAAACTCAGGCACTGCCCGAGTGCCCGGGGTCAGTAGGGGGCCCCGTGAGATGCCCCTGGTACCTTTTTCATAGGCTTTTTTGAGTTTGGGTATGGACACAGGGGCCCCATGATCCCCTATTGCCGGGGGCCCCATGAGTTGTCAGTCCGCCCCTGGTATATAGATTTAGTTATTTATCCATTTCCCATATTCAATACACTTTGTGGGTCTATAGAGCTTCGCTTGCATGGCCGACGGTAGTTGGACTTCAATAAAATGGCCACGGTCTCCATTAGAAAGTAATGGAGGTGTGTCACACTTAACATCATTAATCAGGCTCCCTATAAAAAGAATAAGCTGCGTTTCTATGGTGATACCCGAGGAAGTCACGAGTTTGAGTGACGTAACGCGTAGGTACGTTGATACGCAGGGACGCACTTCCGGCATTGGATGCCATCTTGGCACACCTAGGAAATCCCATACACATGCAGTACACCCATGCATCGGAGAGGAAGGGGGACTGCACGAACGTGAGTGGAATGGATTTCCATTAAATAAAGGAGATTTTGACTTACTAAATACTGCACTATGGAGGTTCTCTTTTGTCGCTCACTGTGTTGGTGAGATACATATTTCGCAGAATATTCTTCCTGAGTGACCTGGAGACTTGTAGGAGAGGAACTACAGGTGAATTATTACCAGCCAGGATTGAAAAGGATCCAGGGTGATCCTGAAGGCTTTTTGGCCCTTTGGGGTTGCCAGAAGGAGGTGAGGAGGCATTGCAGCCACAGTGGAAGAAGTGTGCTGACACTTTCACAGATTTTAAAAACCATTTGTACATTGCATGATTATATGAAGCACCCATCATTTTATTCTTTGTATTTATGGACTGTATTCGTATTCGCTGTGTTTATATGTGATTTGTAGTGTGGTAACATTTGGCACTTATCACTTGTTTGTTTTTATATCCCCATATCCATAGGGTTCCTTGTCATTGTTTTGTTGTGGATATCACTTGTATAGGTCACCCAGGTGACCGTAGCACATTGTTTTGGGCACTGTTTTGTGTGTATATTCACATATGCACATATATTCGTATATATATTTAATTTATTTGGGGAAGCACTGCACTATTTTTTATTAGTTGTAAACAGCCTTGAAAATTGGGGATATCCTGCCTTATCTACCAAACAAAGCAAAATCATTAAAAAAGTGACTAAGTGACAGTAAACATTAATGACTGAAAATTATTTTTAAAGAAGTTTAAAATTATTATGTTAAAAAATTTTTTACATTTTATGTACCATGTGCATATGCCACGTATTTGTGCTGCATAGAGCTACTAGTTCAGCTAGTACTACAGAAAATAGAACCGTTCCTCGAAAAAAAAAAAGAGCAAGTTACTCTTATGGTCAGATAGAATCTTAAGAAAAAGCCTAAACTCTTCCTAAATGTCCATAATATGCTCCATCTTCCTTGCCAGAAGGAAATAGTACCTTATCAGGAAATCAGGAGAGGTGTCTCAATTTCACATTTAGGCCATGTTCATGTTTGGTCACTGAGTTAATGCATGTCATGTAATACACTATGGAGTAGATTTACTAAAACTAGAGAGTGCAAAATCTGGTGCAGTTGTGCATGGTAGCCAGCTTCCAACCTCAGCTTGTTCAATTAAGTTTTGGCAATAAAACCTGGAAGCTGATTGGTTTCTATGCACAGCTGCACCAATTGTTGCACTCTCCAGTTTTAGTAAATCAACCCCTAATGATGGATATACACTAGATACAAAAACCGTCAAAAATCTGTCATTTGGTCATTTTATTTGTTGTTTGTCCAGTCAATGAGCACAAATCGAAAATTGGTAGTGACGTTTTGCAGCCAAAAAATCAAGGTAACATTTGGAAAATTTCTGCCGAATGGATGATAAATTGAAAAGTTGATGTGTTTCTCACCCATTAAAAATCAAACTGTTGGTACGGCTCATATGTGACCCAGAAGAAAAAAACGGCCAAAAAACTATTCATTTATGTCCATTGAACAATTTATTATTGAAAATTCAGTCAAAATCGTTTGCTCTTACGTCCATGTGTTCGTTTTTTTTCGAATGTCCGTTCAACTAGTTGATTTTTTGACTGGTGTATGGCTAGCATAGGAGTTAAGGCAGTCCATTCATTGTAAATGAGTCTTCTTTGGGAGCACAATACATGGTAATACTTGTAGCATATTGCAGCACAGCTCATGAATGGTACTGCAGTGCACTAAGATTTTTGCTTTTGTTTCACTAAAATAGAAAAGGAGGGGATCTTCAAAAATGTTAGTTTGTCAGCGGACTAAGAGGTAAATCTGTCATATGGGACACCTTTTTCTATAACATCTCTCTAAGATAGGAATTCTGTTTACTTGGGAGAGATTTCCTCTCATTCCCTGTTCCCTCTCTGGAAAGGAAATGAAAAAAGTCTCCTCAGTAGAAGAGCTCTTTCACAAGGGTGACTAGAAGGCAGTAAAAACAGGCATTTGTGCCATGTTTATATCTCCCCCTGACTGCTCAGATAATTCTAATATTGCAGCCAGACATGGGCTGTACACATGCTGCTGTGAGGCTGTGCTTTGTAGCCACAGCAATTTTAACTGCAGATGTTAGCTGGCGGTATCACCTGCCAAATGCATTCATTAAGGTCAATGGTAGCACGCTACAACCCCAAACCAAATGCTTGGCTCAAAGTTGCGGTGCGCTATTTTAAAATAAACTCCCCCTTGGGAAAAACTGAACACCTGGCAGCTGCAGCTCGATAGCTCACTGTAAAGCAATTTGCTGCAGATCGCTTTATAGAAACCAGGAGACACCATTACCCATCTGAATGAGCCCACAGGCAGAAAAAAAACCCTTCTCTAAAACTTAAAAAAAGACAAAAACTTTACAAATAAGTTTTGTTTTGGAAGAGCGAGAAATTCTTTGTTCTGTTTTTTTTTTTTATAATTTTTTTTTTGTCGGAGGCTCCTTTGATTGTGACCATATAGAAAATGGAAATCATCACAGCAGGACACAGACAGCAATATAAACCTTATGTATATAAACAATGCACTGATAGTACCACAGCCTGTATTACCTTTAACAGGGACTCATCGGTGAAAAATTGGTCATAGCAGTAGCAATACATACTCCATGTGTAGCCCTGGTCTGCAGCACTGACAGAAGATGAGCGGCTGCATGGACCTGGTTGTAAGGGTTCACTGTCTCTGCTGCCATTCTTGCTAGAGGTGACAGAGGGGCAGGAACAGCTGTGAAATGGAGACTGTCATTACAGTTCTGTGTGTAGCCTGTTTAAGCTCACCCATCACACAGAGGAAGAGGTTGTGGACTGCTTGGACTGCTGTGAATGCCGGGAGGAACTGAGGGCTGTAGTCAGGGCCAGGGGCGGACTGACCATTTGGAAACTCGGGCGCTGCCCGAGGGCCGGGGTCAGTAGGGGGCCCCATGAGATGACCCTGGTACCTTTTTCATAGGCTTTTTTGAGTTTGGGCAAGGACACAGGGACCCCATGATCCCCTATTACCCGGGGGCCCCATGAGTTGTCAGTCCGCCCCTGGTCAGGGCTGTGGATAAGGGGGGTACCACCAGTCCTCCTGTACAGGGCCCAGGTCAGCAGGAGGGGCCCATGCAGCTGGGTAAAGCGGATGTGGGCAGGGAGGGTGATCGGCACGACAGGGGGGACAATTACTGGAACTGATGCCTTGTGTGGCTCTCTCTGCAGCAGCTGGCTTCTTCTCCTCTCCCTCCCGCTAGCTATCAGCTGCTGCAAAAAGAGGCATACAGGGATTGGTTCCAGTAACTGCCAACCCACCACATCTGTCACTCTTCCTGTGCGCCATACATTTCCCAGTGCTGCCCAGATGTCACTGTGTGCTGCCCAGGTGCCCCATGTGTGCTGCCAGCCCCGCAGTGCTGCCGGATTCCCTCCTCTCCTTCCCACTAACAATAGAATCCTTCAGGGTGGAAAGTGGTGGAAGGGTCCATAAATATGTCACATTTACTAGCCCGTTTCTTTCTTGAGTGAACACAATGAGTGATCGGTACTGATCACTGACAGTGTTCATTCATTACTGAAGCATAGTAAACTAGTAAAAAAAAAAAAAAATTGGGGGGGGAGGGGACAGTCAGTACAGTCAATCTGTCAGGGCCACCCTCTCCCCCTCCCCTAAAAAAAATGATACTAGTTTACTATGCTTCAGTAATTAATGCACACAGTGAGTGATCACTACCGATCACTCATTGTGTTCACTCAAGAAGGAAACAGCTGGTAAATGGTTTTTATAACAGCAGTGCTGGCTGTAGTAAAAGTAGTTCCATATAGACTAGTCTGTTTTGTAAACGGGATGAGGAACTTCATTTCCCAGGTTCACTGGAGCTCTGTGGGGAGGAAAATGGAAAGGCTTGTTCCCGGGCTCAGGGAGATGTGAGAAGAACATTGAGAGAAACAGACAGTGTGTGCATTTGGTTGCTGGCAAAATGCTCACCACAGCATCTGGGATGGAAAGAAGCACAGCAAAGGACCTTCCATGATACCTCACTTACTGAGCTTGCTGCCCAATTGTTGGAGATAATGCTGTGGTCGCTGATTTTGTTGTGCTGTTGATCGGGAACAGAGAGATATCAGTAGTCAGTGAGAGTCTACTGTTCACCCCCCCACTATACCCTCTTTAAGAGAAACAGCGTTGCCAATGTGGGTTAATATTAATCACATTGGCAATGCTTTTACATGGTTTCAGAGGAACTTTGTTCAGAGAGCTCCAATACTGTATTTGGGCCCCAACACGCTGGGCAGCGGAGGAAAGGGGTTTAATATAGACTGCAGGACTATTACTGAAAACAGCAGTTTTTTCACAGGACTGAGATTGAGCTCTGAAGTTACTTTTGCAGAGGTTGTTTTCTTATTCTGGGTCACAAATCCTGTGCAATGTCCTTTTGTCTCTTGCATTCAGTTGACCATGTCAATCGCTCTTATGCTTATCAGACAATGTTTTCCTTGAAGCTGTATACACCATCATAACTTTTGATGCTGTACCTCGCAACACAGCAAATAAATTGGCAACTTCAATCACAGAGGCACCATCTAAGCGGATACCAACAAGTTACCCTCTTTCAAGCCCAGTAAGCTCTGGCATTACTCCATAT